GTGAAGCTCGCAAACACTGATGAAGGCCCATTCTGATATCAAACCTCCACTAACTTGTGGCAATACGTACTTATGGGATAGCGCCTCCAGAGTAAACCCTGGGGAAGGATCCGAACCTAGAATTATTGCAACTTCTTTGGTGAAAACTGTATTTCCACTAGCCCTTTCCTTGACATTACAGGCTATGTAAAAAAGAGGATACCTGCTGCCTGAATTAAAGACACTGATTATTGAAATCAATTAATCAATCTGCATGTCCTCTACAAACGTCGCTGTCTTCACGAAAAGCCCGAAAGTCTCTCTTGCTCTAGCCAATTCTCCAACCCTATGTGACTTCATGGCCAATTTCATGTATCCAAGTTCGCAGAGGTCAGCCTCTGCCTTATTCTCAGGTAACTGCATCTTCCATCCTTCTTTTCTCCCCAGACCACTGTGGCGCTTGAGATTTCTAAATTACCTTAGCTTTCTTCTTGATCATTGAAATGACCACACATTGTTTTGTATATTTTATCAAGTACTGTCTGTGTATGGAAGTCCGGCTCACGTAGCATCTATAGCCTAGCCTCCCGGTCAGAAGGTCTTAGGTTCAACCCCGCTCAATGACAATTGTTTTTAAATTTCGCATTACCCTTAGTTCGATAAAGCCTAAAAAGGTACCAAACAATCTCTTGGGAAGTAAAGGCGGTCTGCGTGATGTTTACCACATCGTCATTCGAGTGGCATTAGTCTATAAAATATTGGTCTTGTAATATCTTCTTCTTCAGCCTTTCTATCCCCCACTGGAGCATAGGCCCTCAACCAACTCACGCCAAGTCGTTCTATCCTTGGCCATTGCATGGAGCTCTCCCCATGTCCTTCCCATCTTTCTAACTACATTCTCCAGCTCTCTTCTCCGTGTGTTTTTTGGCCTTCCTTTATGTCTATGCCCCTGTGGGTTCCAATGCAAAGACATTCTAGTTATGCTGTTCTCCTGTTTTCTCAGTGTGTGTCCTATCCAACGCCAGCGTCTTTTCCTTACCTATTGGTCACCTGGAGCCTGTTTAGTTATCTCCCAAAGTTCTACATTAGTTATTCTATCATACCATTAAATTCCTTCTATTCTGCGCAGGCACCAGGTAATGAATGTAATTTATTAGAATTTGCCTTAGTTGTTCTCCATGTTTCCGCACCAGACAAAAGTACTGATTTTACATTAGAATAAAAAATTTTTTAGTTTAGTATTTCTTTTAAATTTTTTTTTTTTTACCTCTGCAAATTTCCTAGTGCTATAAAAGCTCCTCTTGCCTTTTGTATTCTTATTTTAATATCTCTATCAGTTCCTCCATCTTTATCTACATTACTGCCCAAATAGGTGTACGACTCCACGACCTTGAGTGGGGTGCCATTAAGAGAAACCACATTACTATTTGCCTGATTTATTCTCATTATCTTTGCTTTCCTTTATGGATTTTCAGACCAAGCTGCTGTGATCTTGCATCAAGTTTTTTAAAATTTATTTTGCATCTGATTCCGCGAATGGGACAGAAGGGAAATAACATCAGCGAAGTCCAGATCATCAAGCTGTTTTGTAGGGGTCCACTGAATTCCATTCTTGGTGTTAGCAGTTATTGTTGCCATAATCCAGTCAATAGCCAGTAAAAAAGTGAGGCGACAAAAGACATCCCTGTCGAACACCTGTTGTTGTTGTTGTTGTTTTTTTTTTTTTTCAAATGTATCTGTTAGCTTTCCCTCCTATCGAACTCGTCTTTATATGTTGCCTTTAATAAGTTAATAATTTTCTGTGGAATTCCATAGTGCCCCATAAATTTCCAGAGAGATTCCATATCAATGCTGTCAATTACTTTTTCATAGTCTATAAATCCATTGTAAAGTGGTGAGTTCAGTTCAATGCTTTGCTCTATTATAATACGTAATGTGGCTAGCTGGTCAGTACAGGATCTGTTTGACCGAAAACCTGCCCGTTCATCTCTTAGCTATTTATCAATAGCCTCTTTTAATCTTTCCAAAATAATTATACTTAATATTTTTCCAGGAACTGACAGCAAAATAATTCCTCTATAGTTTTCAAACTCATGCAGATCACCTTTTTTGGGCAGTCTCACAAGATATCCTTCTCTCCAGTCTGCTGGTATTTCTTCGGTCTGCCAGGCTTTACTAAATAATCTGTGTTGCAATTCGGCTTATTTGTTTATGTTGGCCCTAATGGCTTCAGCTAGGACATCATCTGGGCCTGCCGCCTTTCCTTCCTTGAGAAGATTGATAGCTTTTCTAATTTCCTCTTTAGATGGTGTCTCCCAGCTTATATCCAATTCCTTTTCTAGAGGCTGGATATCTGGGAGAACCTCTGCACCTGGTCTATTTAAAAACATTTCAAAATATTCAACCCATCTGTCCATTTTATCTTTAGTGTTAGTAAGTACCTTTCCTTGACTATTTTTGATTGGTCTAGTTGGCTGACTATATTTACCTACTAATTTTTGTGTGTTACTGTAAAGTTCTCTGAGGTTTCCTTTTGCTGCTGATTTCTTCGCTTCTTGTGCTAGTTTTTTTTAGATATCTCACTTTATCTGCCCTGTCTGCGTCTTTCGATAGCATCAGGGCCACTCCTTCTCTATAGGGCGAGTTTTCCTCTGTGTGTCCTGAGAACAAAATAGTTTCCCCTGAATTTAGAATAATTTTCCCTGCCCCAGTCCATCTAGTCTCACATAACCCTAGAATACTAATTCTATAATGGTTCATTTCTCTTGCTACTTCCATTGTTCTCCCTATATCATATAGAGTTCTAACATTCCAGGTGCCAATTCTAGAGGTTTTCCTAGCTGAGAGGAGGTACGTCAACGATCCGGACTCCTTACGGCTTTCTCCACACCGTGTCATACTTCTTCTACTTGATGAGACTCACCTCATATTGGGTGGCTGGGTTTTACTTGTTTCTCTTTTTCACTTATCCACGGTTGGTTGGTTTTTGTGGCTATTGTTTTTACAGGATGAGGCAGGATTGCCTTTTTTGTGTGTGTGTTTACATGTAATAATTCTGCAATAGCAATTGTTCTGTATTATCGAAGCGCCAACAATCAGGTTCCTCTCTCCTCCCATCTAGGCAATGCCTAGTTTATTTAATCTTGCGTAGTTAACATATTATTCCTATTGAATTCCCTCCAGTAGAATACTTAAATTGAGGTTTGAGGTTTTAAAAACGTATCAACATCATTGCACACGAATAGCAACCCACAAGTGCTCCGTTCTTTTTCTAACTTAAGTCTGAGTCTGAAGAAGCTCAGCACAGTGCACAGGTTCCGAAGCACTGGCGAGGATCCTTAAATACTTTAGGTAGATTTTTAACTCCAAATGTCTCCCTTTTTTTACGTGTGCAACAATGAGCACGGGTGTCCGATCTCACTACCCAGAGACCAGGGGGAATTACTAGAAGTCCAAGTCCACGTGAAAAAATTCCAGTCCTTACCGGGGATTGAACTCAGAACCTCTAGCACTCGGGGTGGACACCATGTCTCGAGATCACGCAGTCCCCTCGCTTAAATTGACAAAGTTACTTATCCCTCTGATCGTTATTTCATTGTAGAGTGTGAAGAAGTTAGGATTGCGAGTGTTCCCACTGATACGTGCGTAGGGGTAGTATTCGTCACAACGAAATTCAATACAAGTCAACAAAACATATCCTAATCAAGCAATAAAAGTCTAGAAAACAGTCAGGGGGCGATTGTCGCAGTAAACGGCGTGAAGGTCCCTAAGGGACAAATCTGAAACTCCGAATACAACTGTACAACGGAAACAGAAAAAAACCCATCCATTTACAGAAAGAAAGAAAATTCTTTAAACTGAGCAACACCAGAGTGTGAAGCGTACCAAACTGGTGTATTATGGGTTCAGTGATGACATTACGAGCGAACATGAATAAATACAACAGAACGCACCGAAATGCAATATAAAACAAATCACTCCTAACGTTCTCACACTCACTCTCGATGAAGATTAGACTCCACATCTAATCACAGTTAATTTTACATCAAGACACCTTTTTCGGTCATCGTCTCGACCTTGGAAAACAGTAACGGGTTTCCACCAATTCAAGTATGACGCAGAAATACTGTTGAGTCAGAAGAGGTCGTCACTTCCAAAATGTAACAGAAACTTTGATTCTAGTTCTCGCGCAGTCTATTGAGCACCGCGACTCAGGTAAACCTTCCTTCATTTAAGCTAAACTCCACTGTGGGATTCCGAGGTAAAATTCTCTACTGCGAATGAACAACACTCCGACACACACGTTCTCCTTCTTTGACTTCTTGGCTGCGATTCTTAGAATTCAATCTCCTAACAAGAAATGCAACAGCCTCTGACGTCTTATTTGCGCTGTTCAATATTGGTGTACGTTAATGTGCGACTTTCACTCGACACTCATATAGTTCAAAAAATTTTTTTTTTAAGTAGTCGAATACTGTGCTCAAACTTCGGCGTTAAAAAAGCACTATTTTTTTCTTTTCGCGTGATGATTTTATTCACGTTCATTGGGGATATTACCTTTCATGAATTTCTTCTTTCCGTACCATTTTGTCTCCATTATTAGGACAACCTTAGGCATTCAGTTAACTAAACGAGATCAAATGGTGAGTGTCTTTAATTTAATAAAGCGTATCACTGTTATCCTTTCTAATGAAAAAATGAAAAAAAAAAAATAGGTAGAAATATAATAAATTCGCCACCTACATAAGCTAACAAGTTGCTATCTAAATAAAGATTCGACGCAAGTTTTTTAAAACAACACATAATAATAAAAATACCAATTACCTGTCAACTTAGTTTAGACAATTATTACATCGCAATTTATTTTGTGTGGATAGTCAGAATATTCTAAATAATGCTTGTTCTGTATTCTTTGTATCTGGCAGACCATCGGACTAGAGAACTCTGGAGTGATATTCTCCAGCGGCGCCCTCTGGAAGGAGCAAAGATCCGTGAGTCTGTCCATCCTGAGAGCTTTTGGTATGGGCAAGAACCTTTTGGCTGATAAAATACAAGAAGAGGTTGGCTGTTACACGAACTATCTGGCAAGTCTGGAAGGGAAACCCACTGATATACGAGTGATTACTAATATTAGTACGTCAAACATTATTTGCTCCATTCTGATTGGTCATAGATTTGAGTACACGGACACAGAGTTCCAAGACCTTATGAACAAACTTGGAACTCTTGCTTCCGACCACCAAAATGTCAGTTTAGTCCACTTTTTCATGTGGCTCAGACATCTCCCCGGAGACTTTTTCAATGCGAAAAAGATTTCAGTAAATATGAATGCAATAATGGATAGATTAAATAAATTTCTCGTAGAAAAGAAGCGACACATAGAAGACACCAACGAAGTCAGCACTCTAATAGATGCATATATCGTTGAAAGGAACAAGAAACTTAAAGCTGGTATATCGACCACACTTAATGATCGGAATTTACTGAAGATAATGATTGATCTGTTTATGGCTGGAACCGAAACGACAAGTACAACAATCTACTGGTGTATTCTGTACATGCTCCACTATCCTGTCGTTCAAAACAAAGTGCATAAGGAAATCAAAAGTCAGATAGGAACCGATCGAGCCCCAACCATACAGGATAAACCTAAACTCACATACCTGAATGCTGTTATTACAGAAACCCAACGGCTGGCAAGTATTGTCCCCCTCTCGGTGAGCCACTTGTGTAGTGAAGAAGTAGCTTTGGGAGAGTATGTTCTACCCAAAGGAACCTACATCATGCCCAACCTGGACTCTGTTCTCCACGACAAGACCATCTGGGGAGAAGATGCCATGAGTTTCAGACCCGAGCGCTTCATCGACAACAACGGCAAACTTCAGGTTCCTGAACAGTTCATCCCGTTCGGCATTGGTCGTCGTGTGTGTCTTGGAGAGGCCCTGGCAAAGATGGAACTGTTCCTTTTTCTGGCTTCCATGTTTCAGAGGTTTCAATTTCTTCCACCATCTCCATCCTCAGTCCCTGAGCTCAGTTATGTGAGTGGTATTGTCCTATCACCCAAACATTACGAGGTGAGAGTGGTAGAGAGAAAATAGCTTAGACTAGTGACGGCAGTTAATGGTAAATATTTACCAAACTGTTGCAGTAAAACATGTCTCTTTTTCTGCAGTTTTACTTACTATCCATCATGCTACGTTTGTAATGAAACTGCCTATGGCCAATTAACTGTGAGGGGAAAGTAACAATTAAGGTTACGATCCGATAGTTATCTAATGCAACATCTACCCTTTAACCTTGAATGCACGAAACGCTCATGTCACATGTTAGTTAGTTAGTTAGTTGGGTTATCCTCATTGCACTCCGGACATGTCCATAGGTGCTCAGATCCTCCCCTCAGTATGAACCCCAACGTCCGATGGCTAATAGTACCAGTTCTATGTTGATTAACAAGTCTTATGGCGTAGCTGGTGTGCGTCTCGTTTTTTGCTGTGCCGATCTTAATTCCCAAATCTGCCATTCTGGCGAGTGATGTGGATTCACTGCCACCAAAGTCCTCTATTCTTCCCATTTCTCTGAGGGCATTGATAATATCAGCATGATCCATAGGCTGACCGTCGGTAGTGATAGCGGATCCAGCCAACCTGTCAGCTCTTTCATTTCCATTGACGCCTGCGTGTCCCGGAACAAAATATAAAGGTGACTCCACGAACAGTGGACTTCTGTAATGATTCAAGCCATTGTCTTCGCACTGAACCTGCCTGAAAACCCTCCGGATCATACTCATTGAATCACTGAGTATACACACGCGGGTGTATTTTTGTGTTTCAAGCCAGGCAAGCGCTTGTGTCACTGCCATCACCTCCATCGTCATGCTGCTGGTTGTCATGGAGAAGGCGCCGTTGGCTTCTTTGACTGTTTCTGCCCGCTGAGCGTGCTGTAAATGCCCATGCGCTTCTTCTTTGGCGTATAACGGATCCGTCTGTATAGATTATTGCATCTGCTTCGTCTGAATTTTCACCGATGAGAGCGTTTGACCTCTGCATTAACAGCAACAGGATTCTCTTCTCTACATCGCCTGTTGAGTGTGACAATACAGGAAAATGTACAATAAACGCCTGAGGCACAGGTATCCATTCTGCACCAGGTATGATGTCGGTTAGGCTGCATATTTGCCTAATAACATCTTCTGCCCGACCTAGCCACGATTTCCCCCTCTTCAGTCTGTCGCCCTTTTCACTAAAAAGCGCTTGATGCAGTGGGTGTTTCTTATCAGCGCATATTTTGAGATATACCCGAGCCCTCCACATCCTGATCCTTTGGTTCATTGTTAGAAAGTCAAGTAGATACCTCATTGGTCCACAGGATGTGTCTCTAGTACATCCCAAAATAATGCGCATGGCTTCATTTTGTACCTTTTCGAGTCGTTCAATCTGGGTAGCACTGACAGTGAGGATGGCCAGAGCGTATTCAATGGGGAAAAAGACCCAGACCGTAGAATAGAAGTATTAGTAGTCTTTGCTCAATATTGGAAGCAGCAATAATCCTCATTGCAGATAGACCTTTGCGTGCTTTTGTTATCACATGGTCAACGTGTTCAGCTCAGAGGGTGTGACTAAGCGATGTGAGGCTTTCAGTTTGGTAGAAAATGATTTTTCGCTGAATAGACTGCACACCCTGGGTGTACCAATTGAAGCCGCTAGATAGGAAAACCACGCGGGAGCCACCCGTTGTTATATCAGCCAGAACGGAACTGGAGTTGTTAGCCTAAAAACACTTAGAGATATACTCAGGAGAGGAGAGGAGCAGTTATGGCCATCTACGATGTGCAGTAAAGATGATCTCTAACATGATCTATGAACTATGAACTCAGAAATTGACAACATACTAACTTCTCCATAGTTGCTTTACTTATGAATGTCTCTTGTTGTTAAGACCGGCAACATTTGCGGACGATTTGTCTTGCGTTGGTTTCAACAGTGGTACCGAGAGATGACAGTTGAGTAAGCAATGGCAACTTACTGAACAGCCAGACAAAGCAGGGCTTGGTTCTACAACGTCCTGTAAAGGATATGCAACTACTAACATTTGTTATTTTACAGAAGCGCCAACCCAAACAATAGGACCACTATAGCCAGGCATACATAACACTCTAACATGTCATATCGTAGGCACTAACTTTGTCTACGAGTACTGTAATATACTACACCACGCCAAGTATGCTCTTGTAGTGCGATAAGACTCTTGATTATGGACACCACATTACGAAGAAGATGAACTGGTGATCATTGACTCACTGCTAAGTCTGCTACCGCCTTCCAAATACTCACATCGGCAAACTATCCAGACATGGACAATACCCCAAGCGAAATATGTACCAGGTGTCTGGTGACACACACCCGATCGTGCAGACACACTTTTGTGATGTGCAGCGACAATCCTCTGGCGGTTCTTCCTCAAACACCCCGCTACCCGAGGACTTAAGGTAGATGCACCACTTGGTGAAACAATATAGACCTCCCGCCCGCTACCCCAGCCACTCAGTGAAGTATCTCTGATTAACTTCCTGTTAATCAGCCTCTGGAATAATTTCACTTGGTCGACACAACCAAAGCGCCCAAGCACCTTCTGTGCACTTGTATTTGCATGCCATCAACCAAGGTTCCACATATTCTCAAATTTATCGAGCCCACGCATATGGCCGACACAAATGCATTCTAGAAATCACACTGACAAAATTCCTACTCATGATCCACCACAGTCATCCTGAGTTCACACGTGCTCCACAAAGTAAAACTATATTGCTGAAACTGTCAAAACAGAATCCATACGTCCACAGCATTGGAACACCTCAAGCTTACGCATCTACACACTTAGACTGACTGCAAAGCTACTGATTCAAGTACTTTGCACTCCCGCACAACAGTGGTCAGCCACATGTTGTATCTCACATTCCCCACACAGTTTGGGGAGTTTGCAGTCATCAGTGAATATCAAGCGACTCATGTTTTCCCCAGTGGCTCATGCTCCACTCTCTTCCAGTTACTCCAAATGATCACATTCCCAACCCATCAACACAACGTAAATACCCGTGTATACCCATTGCTTCAAAAATCCCTGGCTTCATTAACTCTTTAAACGACACAGTGATTACGCACACAAGTAAAGTAAGTAAAGATCTCTTTTTACGCCTTAGACGCATCGGGTATATGGGAAGAGCGTCCCATATTTTGTTCAGACCAATCGGCACTGGATGGGTATGTGGTCAGCATTATGCCAGCGATTACGCACACAACCGTGACAAAATGAGACCCCTCGAGCGAAAGTATTGAGAAAGTATATTTAACAGCTGTTTTCTCAATGGTCAGTCTTTTAAGGAACTAAGGTTTTAGAAGCAAACCAAAAATATGCATTTGCAACCATTCCAAAAGTAATCAACTACCAAATGCAGAGGTTGGTGGCTGAATGATGGCGAAGGGGACGGTCATTTGGCGGAAAGTATTTTTTTTTTTTTATGCACATTCTTAAAGCAGCTATACAAACTATGCATACTTTGTTTTGTTATGTTTGAACTGATTATTAAACATATTTTCCCCCAAAATACCGTTATCGTTGCTATGTTTTGTCTAAATTTAAGAGACTATAAACCATAGGGCACGGAACACAAGGGCTCAGGCAGCATGAGAATAGAAAATTAAGTTCTTTTACCTTTCTAACCCTCAATGGAGCAGAGGCCCTCAACCAACTAACGCCAGGTTGTTCTATCATATGCTATTGCATGCATCTCTCCTCGTGTCCTTTTTATCTTTTTATCTTCTCTCTAGCTCTACTGGGGTTCCAGCACATGTGGGTTCCAGCACAAATACATTATAGTTATATTGTTCTCCAGTTTTCTAACGTGTGTCCTATTCAACGCCAACGTATTTTCTTCACCTTTTGATTCAGTGCAACTTGCTCAGATTTCTTTAAAAGCTCTACATTAGTGATTATATCTATTATACCATTTAATTTCCTCTATTATTTGCAGGTACTAATTAATGAATGTCTGCAGTTTATTAGTAATTGCCTTAGATTGTTTCCATGTTTCCTCTCCATGCAACAGTACTGATTTGACGATAGATGTAAAAATTTTAAGTTTAGTAAAAAAAAAAATCTCTTTTGACCTCGACAAATTCCCTAGTTTTCTGAAAGCTACTTTTGCCTTTTGTTTTCATACTTAAATATCTCCAAAAGCTTCCTAACCTTCACCTAAATTACTGCCTGAAAAGAAGTACGATTCCACGTCTTGAAGTGGGGTGCCATTAAGAGAAACCACATTACTATTTGCCTGATTTACCCTCATTATCTGTGTCTTTCCTTTATGGATTTTCAGACCAAGCTGTTGTGATCTCGCATCAAGTATATTTAATTTATCTTGCATCTGATTCTGTGAATAGGACAGTAGAGAAATATCATCAGCGAAGTCCAGATCATAAAGCTGTTTTGTAGGGGTCCACTAAATTCTATACCTGGTGTTAGCAGTTTCTGTCTTTACAATCCCGTATTTTGTCAGTAAAAATACGAGAGGCGACGAAAGACATCCATGTAGCACAGCTGATTTTATTTCAAATGTATATGTTAGCTTTCCATCATGAAGAACCCTACATTTTATGTCTTTGTATGTTGCCTTTACTAGTTAATAATTTGTGTGTGGGATTCCATAGTGCCGCATTAATTTCCAGAGAGATTTCCTATATATGTGTGTATATATATATATATATATATATATATATATATATATATATATATATATATAATGTATATGTATATAATATATATGTATATATATATATACACACACATGGGAATTTGATGCCGCCCCTGCAGATTGCTAGGCCCTACCTAAGCGGTGGCTTTATCTTATGCCAAAATCTAGCACTGGATATAAAGAGTCATTTGGCAGGAAAATGAACGAGGTGGAGAGATGGCGAAGGAGATTTTTTGCTCAAGCAGGTGGTGATGAGAGCGACGTTCCGCAAAAGACCTCCTACATGAGGATAATGATGATGTTGATGATGATGATGATGATGATGATAGTGATGATAATGATGATGATGATGATGATAATGATGATGATGTTAATGATGATGATGATGATGATGATGATGATGATGATGATGAATGCCGATATCAACATTTTTGATGGTATACATCCACTACTGCAAATACTGTCTGAAGGTTAAGTTATTATTCGTATTACTAAGAGTGATCCCTTGGCATTGCTTTAATCTGTAAAGGACCGCGAACTTGGATGTCAGATGGAGGTCTCAGGTTTCCCCATGTCCTAGAAGTCACGTCTACCGGCTGTGGCCACGTGTTGTTTTACAGTTCCTCCAGATGAGGACATTCTTGCAAGAGATGTCCCGTGGTCTGAATTTCCCTTATTAGATTTCTGCAAAATCACAAGACCCAGTCTTTCTTAATTCTATCCAGAATTTTGTAGCATCAGGCGCATCTTCGTTTGCGTAGACCTTCTAAAGTAAACATTCTGTGCTAAGATGATCTCTTTTAATCTCTCTCTCTCTCTCTCTCTCTCTCTCTCTCTCTCTCTCTCTCTCTCTCTCTCTCTCTCTCTCTCTCTCTCTCTCTCTCTCTCTCTCTCTCTCGTAAATCACATCTCGCTGCAAGTACATCATACCAAGTTAAAAACCAAGTATACTCTTGTGTAAGATTTACTTTTTCCATACATTTCTGTCTATGGAAATTATTTCCATGTGCCAGGGGCAGGTCTGGTTACAGAACGCTCTTCCCTAGGATGGGTCTTCGGTACGTAACGATGGAAATGTTGACTACTATCTTATCTAACAATAGCTTTAAAGTCACAGAGATCTTTACAAGCCCGGATACAAAAGGCACCACTGAACTCTGCTTAGATACCCATAGTCTTCAACTGTCCAACCTTACGGTAGCTGAATTGAGTTAAGCTTTAAAAATCATGGTATGGTACCAGGGACATTACAATAAGTGCTCCATCCTTATTTCAGCAGTCACTGAAGAGTTGCAGTGCTGGTGGTAATAGTAGCGGTATTGCCTCTCTTGTGTGTGTAGTGTGTCGACCAGATTTCCTGGTCATTCCCCGCTGCTTCATCATTGTTCACTTGCACCCAAGGGGGCCGCAACCAGACAGCTTTTGTTCATCAACTTATTGCCCAGGCCAGTCGTACAGCACCAGTCAAATCTGTCTGCCTGTTCGTAGCTATTGTGAAGTTTCTGACAGCCTACATCTGGTCCTATGATTCTTTAAATGTATCAGTGTTCGTCACGATTTTTCCAGTCTCCTTCTTTAAAGCCATTTCTAGTAACAATACAACACTGGGTAGGGCTGCAAAAGTTTAGAAAGCTTAGATGTTGTATATGGTGATCGTTTTTTTTTAAAATGCTATTCTTAGTGTCCTCGTTTCAGATTGTGCATGGTTTTCCCGTGTTCAGTGTTCCTTATATTTCTTCAGCGTTGATGTTTGCGCCTGATGGAATGTGCAACAAACGGGAAAAAACACATACACACACATATACGCAAACACACATACATACATACAAAAAAAATTATAACTCATGGTTATTTTTTTTTTATATATAGCTATCTTAGCACTGCCATTTAATTTCTTCTTCTTTTCTGTCAATCATCTCTGATTCACATGGTCTTCCATGCCCGTTTGTCAAAATGTGATATTTAATGCCATTGTTCCAAACATTTTCTCTCTGGGTCTGTCTCTCCAATTTGTTTTACGCTCCAGTGATTGTCTTATCACACAGTATTAAACTGATCTTCCTCGCACGTAATGCAGAGAACGCACACTGATAGTATGAAACTGGTAACCCTTAGTGAAATACTTTCCTTCCAGTCGTGTCTTCACTTCAATTTTTATCTGTCCAGGAGATTTCATGTCATATATAGAGTTAAGTAATTTCGTAATCAAAATATTTCCAATGCACTGAGCTATGTTTGCAGAGGATAAAGTCTCTTTAGGATTGACCCCGAAATTGCTGCCCTAAAGTATCTTAATTCGAAAGTCAATATCAATGAGAGACGCATCATAAGACAAACAAACCAGTCTTGCATTTAAAAAAAAAAAAAAAACAAGCAGCGCGCTAGAAGTTGATCCCAGAAATATTGAGCCTCGTGTGAACAGTGTACCCACCCCAGCCACGCAGAAGATCACAGATGAAGCTCGGAGTTTATGACTCTAATTTGCTTTACTTGCGACATATGCGCGTAGTGTGAACTCTCTGCAAGCACGGGTGCAAAGGACAATACTGAACTGGGCTTTTGATACCAAAGAATTTATCTGCTTAACCTATTAAAACTGAAATTGTTAACTACTTGTTTTCTTTGTGTCGAAGATAGCTGTAGAATGCCTGTTTATATAAACAAGTAGAAGGGTGTTTGAGGTTTACAAAATGTATATATCTTCTGCTGCTTTTGCGTTTCGAATCCTTGAGGTTGATTGCAGCAGATATCAATCGCCTCCCTTCCTCTTTGTGTCTTTTGTGTCTTTGTGACCGGTCTTCTTTTTCCAGTTGGTCACTCTAAGTGTTTGTGGAACTGCCTGGAAATTATCACTGCACTGTCTTCTTAGTCTGCTGCGTAGTCTACGACCATTTAACTCGCTTGTGCTTACAAATTCAGTGTCACTGTTGTCTGTTCTTCTCTGTTTATAATTAAAGATCCCTTTTAAAAGCCCTTAGGCTATAGGGCATATAGGGCTAAACCTATATTTTTATAGACCAGTCGGCACAAGTTGGGTGATGTGGTCAGCACCACACTGGCCGCCTCAAATTTCCGGGACTGCATCCGGTACCCACTCAAGGCTGGGTCAACCTGGGTCTTTGTTTTTAAAAGTCCGGCTCCGCCAGGGAGCAAACTCACGACCTTCCGATCCGCACGCGAGCTTCTAGCCGCTACACTTCCCTTTTCTCTGTGTATACCACACCTATTTCAGTCTCTTCAGCCATCACGATGTCAGTGATCAATTGTGGTTTAAACATTTTTATGAATGTCTTTGTTTATTCTCACTCTTCATTGCCTGCTGTTTTAATCTTTGTGGGTCCAAAGATTCGTCGTATAACTGTTTTCACACATTTATAATAATGCTTTATTGCTTTTAGTTGTTCTCCGGGTTCCACAGCCATATAAGAGAAATAGTTGTATCAGTGTTTTAATGACTGTGAGCTTTGCGTTACGGGACAGAGACTTTGATTTTAACAGATTGTGTAAGGCATAGAATTTTTCATTTCCAGATTGATGTCTAGGTTGTATTTCTTCTCTTAGCATTGTTTGAGCAGTTGAAGTTGGTACCCATGTATTTGCCTGTTTCCATTTATAATAACATTTTTGTGTCATACAAATATACATGTCTATGTGTGTGTGGGTGGTAGTAGTAGATGTTATCCCACTAGGACATCACACAAGCGATAAACACCCGATGACACAAAGTGCCACGATGCGAATGAGGATCACCCGCGGAGAGGTCCCGGAATCCGCGTTCAACCATAAGGCCATATTTATGGCCGGGCAATATTGCGGCACCTGGCAAGAGCCAGGGTAGGGCTATGAAATAACGAAAAATTGCTTTCCGCAAGGGGATGACTATTATGTTGTGCGTCTGTGTTGTCTGTCTGTGTGTGACTGTGCGTGTGTGTCTGTGTGTGAGTCTATGTGTGTATCTATGTGTGTGTCTGTGTGTGTCTGTGTGTGTATGTGTGCGCGTGCATGTATGTATGCAAAAACGCACTTATTCTTCTTTAGTTAAAAACAACAAATCTCGTCATATCCAACCTGCTAATCGCAGCCTTTGTTATAACAGTGGCTTTGGTTTCTTTTTGTAATGTTTACTGGCTAGGATGTCTTCCCTAAGTTTTCTTTTGTCTACTTTTGCAGTCCGAGTTTTGATTATGGTTTTTCTCCCATATGCCGTGTCTAATGACTTAGTTTTATTAGTCAAGTATCCTTCATATTGCCTTTTTAGTTGTTTCAGTCACAGTTGTGCCATGTTTAATGGCAAAGATTTGTTATATTATTCAGCGTAATATATATTATCGGCTGATTTTTATGTTTTATGTTTTGTTCAGATGTCCAAGTTCGACTCATGCCGCATTAGCAGTTCACATTTGAAGTCAAACGACGCATTAGAATCACGATACACAAGTGTAACTTCAGCATGTAACATAATACAAAATTGCCGTGCAGGCTTAACATAAAAATGTCCTTCACTATGTAGTAATTTGGTTAGCATCACGTTGTTACAATTATGGACGTAGAGTTGTGTCACCAGTAGAAACTGCCATTTGTCATATTTGACATTAAAATGACACTCTGTAAATGTATCTATGAATGATGCGGTGTATATGGAATAAGAAACGTCATAAAAAACTGAAAAACGCAATAATTTTTGTCACTGCCAAACAAACAATTAATTTTACTAGAGCATACTGCATTAATTATGTACGCATCTATATTATCTCTAGTGGTGTGTATAAAAGCGGGCGTTTTATCAAATTCGAACAGGCAAATGAAATGATTATTTTCGACATAAATTGTATGTAAGGTGTAACAGGTCGGTAGGTTTTTAAATGTCAACATCTTCTTCAGATCATAATGTTGCCCACTGATATTCTTTGTGCTTCTTATTTCCAAAATTCTTGTTTCGTAAACTTGTTCTTGTAGCCTGCCATGTTATAAGTATGATGTAAATGTACTAGCCAGTTTTATTGCACGCCATTCACGTACAGAAATGCAGGTTATTCTATGCGAGTTGTTGATGTATGTGCGGGAAACGTATCTTTATTTAAAAATATATATATTTCAAAAAAAGAATAGGAACGTCTAAATACAGACTTCACATCCAGTTTGTATTTTCATCTTCAGATTCCAAAGAATGGAGCTAACCACCTTGTTGGTAGCTGTTGTGGTGTTTGTCGTCGCCTACGCCTGGTTCCAGAGACCTGACCCACACCTGCCCCCCAGCCCTCGACGACCACTGCCCATATTTGGTCATCTGTTCTACATGTCGTCAGATCCACGCACTCAGTTCAAAGGCTGGAGAAAACAATGTGGTGACATCTACAGGTCTGTGGCCTTTTGAGTATCACTGTAACTGGTGTTTTCAGTTACCACCGTCCTTTATATTTACAGTTAACAGTGAGCGAACAGCCCGGAGGCACACATAGTTCATCATGGTCTGAAGAGAAAAGTACTCACACTCAACACTGTGTTAAAAGGCTAGACTATAAACAATCTAATCCAACAATCAGACTGTTACTGGTACCATTACAATTGGAACTCTTCCCTAGGTGCTAAAGATATGGACGGCGAGCTTATGGGAGTGTACTGAGTGATGTGATGTGTATTTTACATTCAACAACCAACAGTCAACATTTTTATATTAACAAACGAACGCAAGGGTTGACTTTATTTTCGATTGTTTAAGAATTGGGCACTAGCGACTATTATTGCTTTCGGCTCTATAATTAAAACAGAGGGCATCTTTTGGTTCCTATAATAAACATAATTCAAGTCATGTAACTCCTTTGGTGTCAGTCACCTTATCATAGTTTATTAATGACTCTATTCCAGTAGCAAAATCTGTTTAATGTGCATGTGTAAACGTTAGCAGATACCGATTGCACTGAGTATCAGGCGACAATTTCTGCCTTGTCGCTTTGCAATTGGGAGAATGTGTACGCAGCCTAATTCGAAATACTGGTAACTGGTAGTTTTCACACGGTACAGTTTCTTTATGAGTGTCGTTGATACTCTAAACAAGCTGTATGTGATCGGAGAGAAGTAACCGGAAGTAAACTTTTTTATTCAAGGAATTACTTATATCCTGTGCCCATTTTCGTGTTCGTCGGACCCTGCCTCCTTCCTGGTACCAGGCTTCCTGTTAATGTACTTTCTAATGTGCCATGTCACTTGATATTGCAAAAATAGTTCAGTTTCAGAGACAAGATTCTGTTTATTAGCCAATCTTCCTTGATGTTTACATCTTTTAAAAGGTCAGTATTTCTTCTTTTTTTTTTTAATGGTATTCTGTGAATCTTTCTATAGCATTTCAGCTCAAAAGCCCAGATTTTATTCCTTATTGACCGGGAGATAGTCCACAGCTCACATCTGTATGTTTCTACAGGAAAGTGGGAGATAGTCCACATCCGTATGTTTCTATAGGGAAGTGGGAGATAGTCCATATCTGGATGTTGCTATAGGGAAGTGGGAGATAGTCCACATCCGTATGTTGCTATAGGGAAGTGGGAGATAGTCCATATCTGTATGTTGCTATAGGGAAGTGGGAGATAGTCCACATCCGTATATTGCTATAGGGAAGTGGGAGATAGTCCACATCCGTATGTTGCTATAGGGAAGTGGGAGATAGTCCATATCTGTATGTTGCTATAGGGAAGTGGGAGATAGTCCATATCTGGATGTTGCTATAGGGAAGTGGGAGATAGTCCATATCTGGATGTTGCTATAGGGAAGTGGGAGATAGTCCACATCCGTATGTTGCTATAGGGAAGTGGGAGATAGTCCATATATGTATGTTGCTATAGGGAAGTGGGAGATAGTCCACATCCGTATGTTGCTATAGGGAAGTGGGAGATAGTCCACATCCGTATGTTGCTATAGGGAAGTGGGAGAAAGTCCACATCCGTATGTTGCTATATGGAAGTGGGAGATAGTCCACATCCGTATGTTGCTATAGGGATGTGGGAGATAGTCCACATCTGTATGTTGCTACAGGGATATGGGAGATAGTCCCCACCCGTACGTTGCTATAGGGAAGTGGGAGATAGTCCACATCTGTATGTTGCTATAGGGAACTGGTAGATAGTCCACAACCGCATGTTGCTATAGAGAAGATGCATGTTCTCACATGTTTTCATGTTGATGTCCTTGCTGGTATTTAACGCTAGACTTTTAATGCTGTTTAATATTTGCTTTGCTATGGCTATCCTCCTTTTGATTTCTGTCCGTCTCTGGGCCTATTTATTGTAGAGCCAAAATCTTCAAAGTTAAAGACATTAAAATGTTTCATCGGTTATTGCTATTATTAGGTGACAGCTGGTTTTATCTGTTGACATTATTTTCGTGTTCTTTAAATTCAAGAATATATTTTGAACTTCGCTGTGCATTCGGACAGACATGGTTACATTTTATTTTCCCTTTACACTGTTCGAAAGGAGGATTGTGTCAACTGCTTAGCAACTGCTAAGAATAGGGTTGCCACCAACTGTGAACGGTTCTTAGCTGCCATAAGTCTGGTAATTGTTTGACATTTCTCATTACATTTTCTGCACATATGATGAATAGGTATGGTGAGAGAATGCACCCCAGCCCCACTACCTTTTGCATCTCGAATCAGTCCGATGTTTCACCAGCTGCTCTGATGGCTGCTTGTTGTTCATGGTATAAAGTTTTAATTAAATGCACCAAATGCGCTGGAAACCCAGAGCTTCTAACAATTGCCACAATTTCTTATGTTAGACACAATCAAATGCCTTGCTGTAATCAATGAAACAAGCATAGAAATCTATATTGTATCCTCTGCATTTTTCAAACAAATTAACATATTAAAGATGTGATACCTAGTTTCTCGACCCTGTCTGAAACCCGCTTGTGCTTCATGTAGCACATACTGAAGTTTTCTTTTAATCCTCTGTATGATATTTTGTATGATAATTTTGCTAGCATCGCTTATTAATGCGATTGTACGGTAGCTGGAGCATATCTTCATATTTCCTTATTTTAGGAGAGGAATATATATTCTTTTCTTCCAAACTTTATGCCAAATTGCGCTGTTCCGGGCGTCATGTGTTTGTAATAAACAATAACCAGTAATAATAGTAGTAAAATATGGCCTATTTCTGTTGCAATTGAAAGTGTAAGGACAATTAAAGCCGTTAAATGCACGTCTCGCCACTGCTCTTTTCGTGATATATATGGTCCGACAATTAAGTAATGAGACTAATTCCATCAACATTAAAAAAATCAACAGTTGAAGATATAACCTGTATTTTATTCAAAGTAAGCCGCGTGTGCATTGATATAGTGAGTAGCCCGATCTTACAAACACTGGAACCACCTTTGTAGTTCTTCTGTTGCTATAGCCACTAGAGTCGATGTTACGGCCCTTTGAATGTCTTCAATATCGTCAAAGAAGCGTCTTTTCAATGGTAACTTTAATTTTGGAAATAGAAAATAATCACAGGGAGACAAATCTTTGAAATAGGGTGGTTGGTTGAGAGCACACACTTGTTTTGGGGCCAAAAATTAGTGTTTTGATGATGTCTCTTGGGTACTAAACCATCTGATGTTTTTGGTCAATAGACAACGAATGCGTTACAAACATGTAAGCAACTTTTTTTCTTCCTAAAATTTTGCACTAAAATTTTACGATGGTTCTCTCTATTAATACCAGATTAATCTGCCATCATCCTGACAGTAAAACAACGATCTTCTTGTATCCGCTCTGTGACTTTTGCAATGAGTTCATCATTACGAACATAAATTGCGCATCCATGTCTAGTTGCATTAGTAATTATTTTTACACCACTTTTGAACCATGAATACCAGCTGTAAATTTGTGCAAGAGGTAAACAATTATCCCCATAAACTTGACGCATCAATTTAACTGTTGCAGTGGCGCTTAAACAGAATTTAATGTTAGCTTTTTTGCTCCACGCTGATTTCGTAACAAGGCACATCTAACTAGGTCAATAAAATAGCGGCGTGTTTGTCGTCTGCTTATGAGGCTGCCATGCAAAGTTGACAGTTCATAGATGAAGGCTGCCTATTTGGATTTCATGCAGATGGCACTGTTGTCTTAGCCGTAAAAAAAATTCAGTCTCCTTACTTAATTGTCTGACCTTGTATATTAGCCAACTTCTTCTGTTAAGTCCATCTTCTCAACAGCAATGGCAACTTTAGCTCATTATGTTCGGTAATCATACAGTTCAAGTTCGCTTAGATTCTAATGTTGTTGCACTTAGTAAATCAACCCTAAACTAAAGGTGACTCTTTGGTACTGGCAGAATGAAATATCATACATTAAATAGAACGTCAATGGAACAGTGGTCGGCGTGTCTGTACGCCAAGACAGTGGTCGATGTGTCTGTACGCCAAGACAGTGGTCATGGAGGAATGCCTAACATTAGATGGCATATTCGGACACCATCTTAATTACATAAATTACCTTATTTCTTGAAATATTTTTGTTTTCATGCAAAACATGAAATTTCTATCCACAGTTTGTACATGGGGAAGACTTTGGTGGTTGTACTTAACGGCTACGACCTCATCAAGGAAGCCTTGGTCAAGAAAGCAGACGTTTTTTCTGACAGACCGCCATTTTTCCTTGATAAGGTTTGTGCGTTCAATAGTTTTCTCAGTTACAAATTATCTTGGCAGCACTTTTTGGGCAGGAAAGTCGCTTGCAGGACAAATCACCCCTTGGACATGCTCTATTTAAAATATAGCATTTTTGTTTTCCTAACTGAAGATAACAAACACTGCAATTCATATACATTAGTTGTCCATTTTTCAAGAAACTATCATCAAATAGTAAATGTGTATCAGAACAGCGGTAACAAAGTGGATAAATGCTAACCTGTCAGCCTAAAAGTCCAAGATTCTGATCACCGATTTGTTTTCAAAATTGACCCTGGCTGCCAAGTGGACGGAGGCTAAAATGTGTACCGGCCATGTTGACCAAATCATCTATACAGGTCTTTTTGGTCTTTATGGGTGCCGTCGTGGTGGGGCGACTAGAAACTCGCCTGCGGATCTGAATCTCGTGGATTCAGGTTCTGACAGAAAAGGACTTTTTTTTTTTTTAATGGACCTTGGCTAAAGGTTCGATCTAGCCTTAAATAGGTACCTGAAAAGTAAAGGCGGCCGGTGTGATAGTGATTATATCACTCACCAAGTGCCGCCAGGTCTCTAAAATATACATCTAGCCCTATGTGCCCGACTCGCCCAAGGGCGTGAAAAAGAGTTCTTCACTTTACCTTGTAACAGTGTTTAATCATGTGACATACTAGTCAGTGACAGATGTGTCCCATATCTGTAAAAGCACCTTCGCGGTTGTTCCTTATAGCAGCCTCTTTTCTCTGCGTTTTCTCTGAGCATGTAAACACGCTTCTTCTTGTGGCGCCTTTTTGCTATCAAACAAAACTCTTACCAAGAAACTGCGTGTCTCTGTTTATTGGCAAAGTAACGCAATCCTCTTTGTAACATTTCTCTAATTCCGGTATTTGTCATTCCCGCTATGAAGTTTTGTTAATTGTCAAAACCTAACCATTCTTGGCATCTCTGAAGAAGATGCTTTGTCACTTCTTCTTTTTTTCCGGGCATTAACGACACTTTTCAGGAGACTATATCCCAAAGGCGGTCTACATGAGACCATGACAACAATCCACCACCTGCTCCCGTGGTTTCTAGTTGACCTGGCAAAGGTTCTCCACCTTGCCCAAGGGTGTCCTTCGGCCACTGGAAGAAGGGAAGCCCCTAACTTCTACTTTGATAGAGATACCCACCACTCACATACAGACGCATACAGACACACGCATGTAAGCTTATGTAAACGTCGTACTCGAATCTTATATATCGCTCTATCTCCCCTTCTTGCCCTTGTAACATTTTTGTATAGTTGCTTGCACATTTTGACCAGCATCAGACGAAATAGACATGATCGAGACAGAAAATATGTTGTCTACAACATTCAAACACAAATCCACGATGATAATAAGCTACAGTAATCATTATCATATTTCTCTTTCTTTGCCTGTCCGTGCAAGACAGTCAGTGCTATGGATAATTCCCTTTAGACATAAATGATCTGTGAACTCACATATATACACTCCTTGTGTTGGTTCTATGCTAAACACAGTTATATTTGTCTTCTGTTGAGGCTTAGCTCACAAACAAAAATCACTTTTTAGTGAATATTCAGTAACTGCCGAGACGATCATAGATGTATATTTCTTTATTTTTCTTTATGATAGACAATTGGACTAGAGGACCACGGAGTCATATTCTCCAGCGGCGCCCTCTGGAAGGAGCAAAGATCCGTGAGTTTGTCCATCCTGAGAGCTTTTGGTATGGGCAAGAACCTTTTGGCTGATAAAATACAAGAAGAGGTTGGCTGTTACACGAACTATCTGGCAAGTCTGAAAGGGAAACCCACTGATATACGAGTGATGACTAACATTAGTACGTCAAATGTTATTTGCTCCATTCTGATTGGTCATAGATTTGAGTACACAGACACAGAGTTCCAAGACCTTATTAAAAAACTTGGAGCTCTTGTCTGCGACCAGCAGAATGTCAGTTTAGTCCACTTTTTCATGTGGCTCAGACATCTCCCTGGAGATTTCTTCAAAGCGAAAAAGATGTCAGTAAACATGAATGCAATAATGGATGCATTAAGTAAATTTCTCGTAGAAAAGAAGCGACACATAGAAGACGCCAACGACGTCTGCAATCTTATAGATGCATATATTATTGAAAGGAACAAAAAACTGAAAGCTGGCATATCGACAACACTTAATGATCGAAATTTACTAAAGATCATGATTGATCTGTTTGGGGCTGGAACCGAAACGACAAGTACAACAATCTATTGGTGTGTTCTGTACATGCTCCACTACCCTGACGTTCAAAACAAAGTTCATCAAGAAATCAAAAGTCAGATAGGGACAGATCGAGCTCCAACCATACAGGACAAGTCTAAACTTACTTACCTGAATGCTGTCATTATGGAAACCCAACGGCTGGCAAGTATTGTCCCACTCTCTTTGACCCACCTGTGTTCAGAAGAAGCAGCTTTGGGAAAGTATGTTCTACCTAAAGGAACCTACATCATGCCCAACCTGGACTCTGTTCTCCACGACAAGACCATCTGGGGAGAAGATGCCATGAGTTTCAGAGCCGAGCGCTTCATTGACAACAACGGCAAGTTGGAGATCCCTGAACAGTTCATACCGTTCAGCATTGGACGCCGTATGTGCCTGGGCGAGGCTTTAGCAAAGATGGAACTGTTTCTCTTTCTGTCTGCCATGTTCCAGAAGTTCCAGTTTCTTCCTCCATCCCCGTCCTCAGTCCCTGAGCTCAGTTATGTCAGCGGTATTGTAATAACCCCAAAGCATTACGAAGTTAGAATGATAGAGAGGAAGTAACTTAGACTCGTAAGGGCAGGTTGTAGTAGTGATGTACTGTACTGATATTTTAAATACCTTTTCTGCAAGTATATATTTAACAAACTATACTACAGGTGAAGTCAAAAAGTAAGTCGCTAATAGCTGTAAAAAAAAAAAAACAAGGACGATAACACCTTGAAAACCATTTTTTTTTTAAACACATGCACCGTCCATTTATTTTTCACATAATTTCCACCAACATTGATGCACTTGTCCCTTTGTTTTATCAGTCCTCCTAAACCTGCAGAATAGAACTGCGTGCTCTGTTTTCTAAACCACATTTTCACTTCACATTTAAATTAAGTGTGGATATTTTCTCCTTAAGTACAGTCGCAATGTTTGTTTCTGTGTTGCGAATGCGCAGGCAACAAACGGAGACATAAAGTTCAATGTCGCTGTCATCTAATGACACATTTAGAAACCACCAACAACATGTTGCTACCATCCCATCACCTTTTGTGACTTACTTATTGACTTCCCTTTGTATTTTCGTCATGAGAATGACTGTGGCCGACACGATGTCAGGAACGAAGTATCAATTAAGAGTCGGTTGTCAGCAGCATATCCCTAACAGGACTTCGCAAACCAAGCTCTACATTTGTTGGGTGTTTGTGGTCCTACAAGTTAATTTTACGTTCAGTGGTTTATGCAAAATTAAGAGCATGGATCTTCCTTGTAGAAACAGACGGGTGTGATTAGTGGATTACCTCCTTTGAGCTGTCTAGTAAAAAAAGCAAAGTGTCGTCGCGCAAATTGTCGTTGAAGCAAGTTTGTTGGCAAACGGAGGACTGCAACAAAATAACAGAAGGCATGGTGCGGAGAAAGAGGGACAGAGGCGACCAACATCAAGATGGGCACAAGAAACAAGGGTTAGCTTGTGTAGGGAAGTGCACGGGGCGAGACAGTGGCAATAAATCAAGCTTCTTACAGGCAGACTGTGATGAGAATGCTTCATGATGATGATGACGTTGTTGATGATGATTATGTTGATGATGATTATGTTGATGATGAGTTTATGCTATAAATTTCAATAAAAAATATAATCAGTATCTAAATGTTTCTCAACCAAAGTTTCTCAAATATCAAGTTATATTTTTAAATGACATCTTTTAATTTCTCTATATTGACCAATTATAATTTAAAATTTTCCATATATATTTACAATGAAACCTTTCCTCCATAAGTTTACTGTCACTACAGTTCTCATTTCTTTAGTCACTACCACCATAATTCTCCCCTCCTCCCCCCCCCCCACCCCCTTTTTTTTTTGTTTCCCATTTTCCCCTCTCCCTGTCTGGTGGTATTTCTTCAGTCTCTTAAGTAAAAGTAAGTAAAGTACAGATCCTTTTTTACGCCTTAGGCGCATCGGGCATATGGGAAGAGCACCCATATTTTACAGGCCAATCGGCACTAGGTGGGTAATGTGGTCAGCATTACGCCGTCAGTCTGACTAGACGGTGAATAATTTGTGTCATTTCAGTTCATATTCTTCTTTCTTTCCTTTGTCAGTATCTGCTTATGCGGCTAGGGTCGCAGCTCACCAGACGATCGGCAGCCGAGCAGGGCGCGCTCAGTCGCTTGATAGGTCGCGATGTTACGCAGTCTCAAGGTGTCAGTGACTCCTCAATAAAATTTCTTCTTGGTCTTCCCCTGCTTCTTAGTGTTTCGATTTTCAGGTTGTATGCTTTTGGTGCTGACATAGTTGGTTTCATTATCATTAGATGGCCAAACAATTTCATTCTTTGTTTCTCAAAAAATTTGACGATGATGTTGTTCCAACAGTTCTTGTGATCATGTCGTTTCTCACTCGATCTCTTCCATTTTTTTCCACAGCCATTCTCAAACATCTCATCTCACAGGTGGTTAGTTTTCTTTCGTGTTCTTTCGTCACTGTCCAAGACTTACATTGGTAACCTAAAGTCGGTATATATATATATATATATATATATATATATATATATATATATATATATATATATATATATATATATATATATATATATATATATTGTATCTATTATTTGTCTTTTTGTCTCTATTGGAATGGCAGGTTGTTTTAAAATTGGAGCAAGTTGGTATGTGATATTATTGGCTTGTTGGATTCTCTTTTCTATCTCCTATCTATGTTACTATTGTATGCAAAAATGCTTCCCAAGTATATAAACTCGTGCACTTGTTTCGGACTTTGATCTTTGATCTTTACGTCGATGGTTTGTTTTTTCTACTGCTCTCTAAGTGTTCTCATGCGGCGTCCGTGGCTTATGCGTTGCGAGTCTGACTCGTAATCCAGCGTACCGCCATCGAAACCCACTGCTGGCTGCGTGAATTTTTATAATGGTATGGGGCTTCGCAGGTCGACCCAGGCTAAAATGGGTACCAGGATGGCTGTCCTGGGGAAATAAAAAAATTTTTTTTTTTAAATATTGATCTTTATGTGATGTTTAAGGCAACTGTCGTATGGTTAGTTTAAAAGGTACTGCAGCTGTTCATTTTCCCTGGAATATGCAGTGATCGTCGGCAAAGAGCAGCTCATTGAAGTCATCGTCTGTATAGACATTTGGTGGTGTTATGTCTATTTTAATAATATTGTCCATAAATATTATAAAAAGTAAAGGGGAAAAAAAACACCTTTGCCTTACTACTTACTCAGCTGATATTAAAATATTAAAATATACAAACATCAAATGAAAGTAATGATTGCACAGTTGTATCTTTATTCAGAACTGCCAAATTGCACAGTAGGATGTGAACACTTGCACAATCAGGCTTCTTTATTTTTTAAATATATGTACATAGATTAGGCTCATATAGTGATTATATGGATTATTGCATATATTGGTTTGTTTATTGAACTGGTTAATAAAAGCCACATTGTTTCATTGTGTTGTTGCCTTGCCTTTCTGAACTCTGCTTCTACCATGCGGTTATTGCTGACGCTATAGACGTTCTGATTTCTAAGATATTTCTGTCTCTGTTGTCAATTCTGATGCCGTATGTTGCCTAGTAGTTAAGAGCGCAGTTGTATAGTTCTAACATACTGATTTTGATATTCAGCTGGAGTCGATTTCACTGCAAACCGTATTTGATTGATTTCGAGAAATAATGATGTATGTGGTAAGGGAATATGAAAAAGGGTATGACCTAAGTTACCAAATGGACTGTCAGGATTTCATTCTTCAGAACAGGTGTGTGGTGGAGAAAAGAGCTGAAATATTATAAAAACAGACAGGAATTTCCTTTCTAAGGTGCTGGAGTGCATTTCCCTTAAGATTAGCTCTTTGTTTAAGTTAGTATAGGAGTAATTTTTGTTACTGTTTCTTTGGGGGGGGGGGGGGGGGGGGTTGGGGGGGAAGGGGGAGTGGGGGGGGAATTTGACGTGGGATCAGAGAGCCTTGGTGGTATAGAGGCGTCCTCCTACCCGCCCCCTGTGTGAATGTGTACGAAATTTAATAAAACAAGAACCCTCATTTCCTTCCTGATCTGGGACCCATGGTCGACCCGGCATAAAATGGTTAATAGAAACCTCAACAGTAAGGAATTATCTGGCCGACTATGTGGCGGCTATGACTTGTCCGATTATGGTCATCGATGTCGTATTAGTCATGGGTGACGCATGTGGCGACTACTACTGTAGACTAGTGCAGAAACCACGCCGTGCTATGATGGCGTCAGATACAAAGTCTTAAAAAGGCTCGGAGATAGAAATACGTAGGTATTCTTCAGAGCATCAAATAACAGCATCAAAACAGGCATTGTCCCTGCTGACTTGCTACTGCATACTACCTAAGACCCACTCCAAAGCCCGGTAAAGATCATGCCAGATTAAATGGCCACAGAATCATATCGCTACAGGACATCGTCGGAAAACTCAAACTCAAAAAGCCCTAACTATAATAGTAATCCAAAAATTAGAAAGTCGCCACTTAACGCCTACACAATGTGGTTATCGCTACATAGATATAGCACGGTATGTCAGACAATAAATTATGCAATGTATTGTGTTCCCATTTAAACTCACAACAACAAAATATTGGTTTAAACTTTCTTTTCTATTCAATGGGTTGAGAACTGGGCATTCCCCCCCCCCCACCCCCTCCTTTAGTTTGGACGAAGCCATAATTTTTTTTAATGAGCTTGGCTACTGGGGTGACCCAACCTTAAATGGTTACCAGCTAAAGTATATGGAAATAAAAGTGGCTGCAGCTGGTGGGGCGTTGACAACATCACCAACCCAGTGTCAAACTGTCCATAAATGAATGGGTAGGTCTATATGCCAAATATGCCTGGGGCGTGGAGACTGATCCTTTACGTCAGTCTATCATGTACCCAAATGTAAATCTGGCTGTATCCGCGACTAACTGGTTAACCAGTTTGTCCCGCCTACTGAAGATAGTGGGTTTATTTCACGAACTGTGTTGATCGGTTCACGAGTGCAGCTTTTGCAGAGACATCTGAGAACTGTCGCTAGAGCAACAGAGTTCGTGCTTTTCTGAGACTTCTTCAGCTGGATACTGTCCATCTTCGGAGAAGGACCGAGTCCCACAGAAAAAAAAATGTCGGTGCAATTAACCTGATTCTTAAAACTGACAACCGTTTCCTTCACCCTTATAAACGATATAACGATTCCGTCTCAAAGCGTGGGAAACATGGGTGCCAGAGGCTGGGATCTCTAGCACCATGAGACTCCTACATCTCTTAGTGTTGTGGGAAAGAGGGAGGTTTAACCCCCCCCCCCCCTCCCACCCACGCATCTTTAAATCTTAGGTAGGCTCAAAAACCCCTCTGCCAAGAAGAGACTTGCACACAAAGTAAACTATAGGTAAAGTAAAATAAACGACCATTTCCACGCCTTTGTGCCTATCAGGCATATAGGGCTAGACCTATACTTTATAGACCAACTGGCACTTTTTTGGTGATGAGGTCAAAATCTTTACCACCTTTACTTCCCAGGACCTTTCCTGGCTGTGTCGACGTGAGAG